TGCTGTGAAGATATAGGACTCACAAGAAGGCTGGTGAGCTCTGGAGTACATGAGATCCAGCTCTTTCTTTTTTCTTCTGGCCTTCCCATTCATGCTAGCCTGGCAGATTAATTTTAACATTTTGGACGAGAAGAAACCATCTGTGCTACATTCACTAGAAACCTCAAAAATAGGTTAGGCGATTATCTAATTATTTGCCTGGCAGCAGATGTGCAATTTGGTAACATGTACTGGAAGTCTTTCTTCAGTGTCAGATACAATATGCTATCCATGGGCTGCAGTCTCCTCAGAGGCGTACCTGCTGCAGCATGGAGCACCTCCTTCCAAAAGTACGTGCCCCATCGTGTCCCCAACAACGTCTCCTTTCATGTGTCTCTTCCATTTCTCCTCAGGTGGCTCTTTTGTGTCCCGTTCCTTTCTCCTCTCCCTTGCCCCTGCTGTTCTTTCTTAAGCACGTTTGCACAGGGTTGCCACAGGCTCCCCTCACTGAAGTTTCGGCGTGCAGAAGGTATTTTTATTGGAGTTAGAGACATCTGGCACTGGCTGTGACCAGCACAGGGCATGGCGTCCTCCCACACAGGGCACCCCTGCAGCCCCCAGCTACCAAAAACCTGCAATTTATGCCCAATATGTTCCACCCCTAGAACTAGATGATTCCCTTGTCTTTCTGGAAGATCTGTAAGTCTCAGCCTGTAAGGTGAGAGCATGGATAGTTTTCAGCCTTTCTTGACACTTTTTTCAAGGTCAACCACATTATGGGATTTTCTGTATTATTCTTGGCCATGCTGCTAATGGAGTTGTTCCTCCTGAGTGCTCCCCCAGTCTGATATGTATAGATCCCACCTTGACCAACAGGGTGCCCCACCAGCTCATGAGGTGATAGCCCAGGGGCGTTTGTAACCGCGTCTAGCTGTCAGGACTTTTGGGCCATGGCATTAGTGTTCACCACCGTTTCAGGGTCCCTTACCTGTAAGGGGACCTCTGGCAGTCAAAGCAACTGCAACTCCTTCCCAGCCCCTTCACTGGGGCATCTCATTTGTGGGATTGGCGGAGTTGGGCCATTGCTCCACATTTCCCTCCATCAGCAGACCCCAAAGCCCTCCTCCCTTGTGCAGGGCAGTATTTAGAAGTGGCGTGGGCCCCGGCCTCCCCCAAGCTCTGCTCTTTCGAGCCACCACCCATTAGCTGGCCATCAGCCCAACTCCCCCATGTTACCAAGGGGTCTTGGTCCCTCCAGAGCCACACTGGGAGCACATGGCAAGCCCCGGGCCCCCCATGGCAGCACAGCACGCTGGTCTCCGGGGGTTTCACAGAAGCACCAGAGGTCTGGGGTTGGTGTGTAACTGCCTCCTTTGGCCGCTCCTTCCTCCTTATGCACGTTCCTCAGCCCTGTGTGGGTCACCCCCTCAACTCACTGGGTGGTTTCTAATAAAAGCACACAGGGGCACCAGGGAAAGCAATACACAAGGGCTTCCCCTGAAGCAACTATTTAAAACAAAACTGGGGGGTACTAATTAGCCAGCCAGCCATCACACAAGAGTGTCTGTAGATAGCAGGTCCTGCAGTCATTAACCACCAGAAACTCTGGCTGTGGCTCATAATTGAGGTTTTTTCCCTCGGGGTTAGACAGGAACTATCACAAGTCTCAGCTGCTGCCTAATGACATTGCCAAACCAGAAGACATGATGGGTCTGAAAATTTCAAGTGTCTTGTAGCTCTGTCTGGCTCTGGTGTTCATCATGGGGAGACACATACATGTTTGCTCCTTCTTAAACGTCCACGCAGAAGGTATAGACCAAAGAAATTCATGCAGCATAAGTGAACCTTACCATGGTGGTACACAAGAACTATTTTGCTACAGAAGCAGGTTGGACTGATCCAGATATTGAGTAAAAGAAGAATAAAGGCACAACAAGTTTACTAGTTTTGAGCATTTGGATTGCTCACTAGAATCATTTTCGGTTAGTAATAATTTGCAAGTTCAGTGGAAATTTTAAAAGTGCTAATGCAAGTTTGACTGAAGATAACTGATGTTAGTAAAAATGCTTACAAGATGAATACGCGGAAGCAAAGTATATAAAGTTAAACAGAGTCTGAAAAGTACATCTAAAGATGGAGTATGATGTGTTAAAAGCACGTTTATTCTTTTAAACTTTCTACCCTGCAGCGTTTCTATACCACTAACCAGTACCTTGGCAATAAATAAAGAACATCAATTCTCTCTCCTTTTACCTTGGGAAGTCTGTGAATTTCTGTAATAACTTTAGTTCTCCCAGCTAAACAGAGCTAGTGAACCTTGTGCCCCACCTTACGCCCGGGGGGTGGAGGAGCTTTGGCTTTTCCCCTCTGCTGGCTCAGCATGCCCGAAGACACTGAGAAATGGAGACACCACCACTAATCTTGGCAGCTTGGTTCCAACTGTTATCAACCAAATTGGTAAGCGCAGGTGTCTTGCACCCAACTCAAACTCATCATCTCTTCCTCCATCAGGCTAATGAGCCCTTTAGCACCTTGTATCCTAGTAACTTCTACTCTACAATGAAGCCTTCTCCAAGTCTTTTTGATAAATTAATTCTCTACTCATCAGACACTGCTTCCAGTCCTTTAAGTAAGTTTATTGCTTCTCTCACTACTGTGGGGATCTAGACAGTTTTGTAAAAGCCTTTAAAACAGCAGGCATCAGACATAACAGTATTTTTTAATCAATGGACACAGTATTGGGATTGTACCCCCCATTCCTCTTCACTACTCAGATTCAAACATCCCGGGATTTACACTTGACCTTTTACTACAGTGACCCAGAGGAAGGTCAGGCTTGGAGTTTTTTGGTCTTTTGGCCTGAATGCTTATGCTGGACACAGCATTAAACCAACTGGTACGTTTTATCCATAGTCTGTAGCCAATTATAGAACATGAAATACTGCATACGAGGATGAGATGGAGCTGTTGGATAAATAGGTTGTTGTGTTGCCAGCAGTGTCTCATTGCTTGCCAGATTGCTTGAGCAAAGGAAATCTCAGGGACAGTTTTTAATACCGTGTTGAGTTTGTGGTCGGAGAGGTCACAGGTCTTTGATTGATAGGAGAGGCAGACCTTCTAAGAAAAGCTAATATACATCAAATAGTATTTACTTCCTTTTAGTTCCATTAGTTAGATTAGTTAATGTTTAATTTATGGATTCATTTGAGTATGGCTGAACACTGGGAATGTTGCCAGATTTTATTCCCTTTTTCATTATGCAGCTACGGGTTTTCCCCCTTCTTTTAAAAGCTCACTTTTTTTTTTTTTTATTTAGAAGA